CGAACATTATATCGGTTTTATATTTATGTGTAAATAGTGTATAGTAACGAATTGTAAAGTAATGCTTCACGATGTAAAGTAACGTAATGTATAGTAAAGAAATATTGTAAAGTAACGTGTATCAAGAGGTAAAGTAACGTAATAAATGTATAGTAAAGAAATATTGTATTCCCGCAGTTTAAAGTAAATTTTCCGTTTTACTCTTCGTATAATTAGAACACGAGTTTAACTTGTGGTTCACCAGAGTATCGCGAATTTTTAGGCAGTATTACAATTGATTTCACGGCTCATCGCTGCGAGTTGAAGCAGATTTCGTTAATGCGCGGCTCAAATAATAAGCGACGTTACCAGATTACTGCCGATTCTCGATTCCGCGGCTCAACGTATCGCGATAAACGCCGACAATCGTTGTGCGAAACCGACTTCCGCGATTTATCTGTACGCCTGTATATTTTTCACCTGTAAATACCGTTGTAAATAAATAATTTGTTTCAGTTTGTAATTATCCTGTTATTATTTTCATTGGAATCAAAACGAACCCTGGCTCGGCGAGCTAAAATATTGATTCTTACAATTACAAACGTTACAATTCAAAAACCGCAAAATAACTTCATCACAATATCAACAGATTTATCACCAATATCACAAAAATCTATATCTCTTTTTCACTATACCGGCTACAAAAATCATTGGCTAAGCTATATTTCGAGAACATGATAAAATTTCAGGGAAGCAATTCTTGTTGAAAATGTAAAATAAAATTAATTAAATCTCAAAAATATATTCGATATCTGACATAATGTATTTCGCAAAAAAAATTTTAATATGAACAATTAAAAAAATGGCTATAATCCTGTCATTGATATCAACGTATTATTTTATTATAATAAAAGAATTCAAAATTTTATAAAACGTAACATTTTTCTCCATAACGAAAAATTAAAAATAAAGAAAAGATTAAAATGTACATGATAAATTATTAATCAAATTTGTCTATATTAATATTGTCATGGAAGTTAATATTTTTTTCTACAAAATTTATAATTCTATTATAATTTAATTAATTTCACAATTATTTTATAAAATTCACAGTCTCAAGACTTCACGACATCGCAAAAGTTTTAAATAATAAACAAGAATTAAAATTGATTTTCTTTACTTTATGACAGGCAAAAACTAATAAAAATTGAAATTAATTTCCCTTCTAGAAAAAATCGATTGAAAACAATAGGAAAGAAATTTCTATTGTCCCCCATCGTGTTTCATAATTGTGTTCTTACAATTGAGAACGATTGACTTTCTTATTATATTTAAACGTTTTCAATCGTGATCTATAGATTGTATTGCATGCACTATTGTTTGGCGGAAATTTTTGAAAATTTTAAAAAGTGCAACTAATTAAACAGTCTAGAAAAATATCATTGTTTCAAAGATTATTTTGCAAACTAAAAAATGTTAATATTTATCAATGTATTTGTCACCACAGAAGAAAATCAAATATTTTAGCTAAAATTAATCAAAAGTTATTCTTTAATTTAGCTTTGAATGAAGCTGCACAAGACAAAATGTTTAAAAAAATAATTTTTGACAAATACATCAAGTATTGTTTTAAATTGAAATTTTTATTAATTGCTGAATTTTTTTTTTAATTTCAGTGAATATTGAATTTTTTTTAAATAATCGAATATTGAAAGATTGACAATAATTATAAGATTCGTGGAAATAATTAAATGTCAGGTGATTTGAAATTGAAAATTTTGAAAATATTTTAATGAATGAAAAACTTTATATACAAATGTAACGGGTTTAACATTTGTTTGAAGCACTAAATAAGTTTGTAAAGAATTTTAATTTGAAATTTTTAGAAAAATTGATATTTCGAAGAGTTGCAATCAAAGTTTTTAATAAAAAATAATTTTTTTTTAAATTAATAAAAAAATTTGCAAAAAGTTTTAATTAAAATTTTTTATAAATAAAATAATTACAAAATTTAATAGGAAGTAATTTAATTTTGAAAGAGTTAGAATTGAAAGTTCTTACTTATTAATTTTAAATAATTGAAATTTTGTAAAATTTAATTGAAACATTTGAAAATAATATTGAACTTTTTAAAAAATTTGATTAGCAATTTTTTGAAAATATTTAATTGAAAAATTATGGTTTTTTTTCGCAAGAAGTTGAGGTAAACTTCGAACAAAATTTATACTGAAAAATTTGTTATTATATTTTTGAATGGACACCCAATGTTTAGAAAAACTAAAAATTTTGTTCTAAAAAAATGAAAAACTAAAATTATTTTAAAATGTAAGAAATAGAATTTTTTCTTATATTTATTTTTATATGTACCTAATTATTTATTTAATTTCTGTTTATATGTATATTTTTATGTTTTTGAGGTTATGTATTAACAATTCGAAGCTTGTCATACTTGATTTGTTCATATATAGAATAAGTAAACATATTGGAATTATCTGAATCACTAGAAATTTTACTTTATATTTTACATATTTGACACATATGCACGAACAGAACAATAATTATATATTACAAAACACTTAGAAGAAAAACATCTTTCCTGTTTGTTTCATTCGAATCAATTGAAAAAATATATACTCCAATTGGAAACAATTTAAAACAATAAAGAAATTTTTGTACTCAATAGTTCTGAATCGTGTTGAATTGATTTTTTCTAAAAGGGATAGAAAAAAATATTCCATTACATTTCTACGAGGGAAACTTGCCTAACCTGACCTTTATTGCGCGCGGGCAAACAAAGTCGACGGTAGCGCTACGGCGCGAAAATCATTTGAATTCGAATAATTTGTACAATACAAAAAAAATTAAAGTCACGCAAAATCAATCTTTCTTTACTAAAATATTAGCTATATTTTCTTTAATTAATTATAAATCGTATCAAAATGTCACGTCACACAAGAGAATTCTATATATATAAATAAATATTGAAAATCATCAAATTATATTGTGGAATAAATTTTGGAATCTTAATTTCGAATTAAAAAAGGAAATCTGTATTGATTTACAATAGAGAATACCTTATCTGGTTAAAATGTAAATTTTATATGCAATTAAGAAAGCAATATTGAATTCCAAAAAGCATATTAAATTAGTTTTAATATCGAGTATTTAGAATCAAATAAATGGGAGAGAATAATTTATTTTTAATCAGTTCTATAATTGTACACTAATTCCTTAATAGAATACAAACCACAATTTGCCTCACATCAAAAGCAGATAAATTGATTGTAGAATTTCCTTGTACAATCAGTATTCCATTGTAAATGTCGATCGTCTGAATTATTACTAAAAATCGTTTGTTTTAAATTAAAATTTCCCCCAATTGAAAAACAAATTTAAAAAACATTTCATCGTTTCGTTATGATTTTTATTCTTGAAAATTATTATAATTGTTTTTTTAAATATAAAAATTTCTTAAAAACATTCTATACATAGTAATAATAATTTTCTCCCTCCAATTTTTTGTCGTTTATTTATTTAAGAAGGAAAAAAGCAAATGTGACTGTCAAATCCATCTAAGTGCACGTCAAAAGCAATATTTACTTTTCCCATTTTCTGTTTGTTTGTTAAAGCTCATGGGACTTCTGTTGCGAAAAGGTTTCGCCTAGTGGCGTATAAAAATTCAATGAACAATGGAAATAAATCGTCCCATAAATTGGAAGTATATGATAAACGCAAAATGTACAACTTGAACCTCTTTTCTCTCGCTTCGATTCGATACAATAGAAATCTTTTTTTCAAATCCAACACACTAAAGAGAAAACTTTATTTATTTATTTTACAGAAAAAAGAAATATTTGTTTTGAAAATAAAATTTTCATCGACAAATTCAAGAATATTTGAAAAAAAAATTTTTATTATAATCCTAAAAAATTTAAATACATTTTATTAAATAAATATTTAGGCCCTGAATTCAGTTTGGAAATAATTTCGAGTTTTAAGTATATTTAAGGAAATTATTTATGAATAGTTTCATATAATTTCAAATTGATTAGGACCTACTGGATACTTTTCGTTCTATGAATTATTTTGCTATTAAGAAAATGTTTTCGCACTTCGCTTTCCATTTTCTTTTCCTAATCAATAAACTTTATACAAATGACTTGATCGATTCTTCTTTCACTGGCGAAATTAAATTTAGCTCGACTGTTCGTAATTACGCGACTGCCTTAAGACAATGATGAGATCCATCCTGGGTCATCCGAATGGGAGCGGATGGGGAATATAGGATAATAAGGAGTAAGAAGTGAAGAGAGAGAGAGAGCGAAGTACGTGCCTGGAATGAGGCGCGTCTTCTAAGTACGAATTACTTTGACAAACTCGTGGATGATCGCGTCGCGCGCACTATATCCATCGAAAGACGCGCGCGCTTGTTAGAACCTCAGGGCTTCAGTTTCCCAACCGAAATGGAAACCTAATGGCTCCTCATCTTGAAAGTTTCCGATCACAGGGATAAGACATTTCGTTGCTACCTAATTTATGCGAAAGGAAGAGGAGTAGCATAAGACTTACACGACATGAATTACGAACATCTTTGCCGGAGAATCATATAATCTCGATTTAGAACCTCATATATAGAATCATCATATAAGACGAATATGTGAATATATTCCATTTGAAAGCCTCATGAAAGACTCGACTAATTTATTCACTCGAATCTCATGTGAGTCTTTGTTTTCCTTTTCCTTTCTAATTTCAATTGTGATTGGGGAAATTCTCTTTACCATTAAAAGGAATTTATTTCTCTGTTTACCATTCGAATTAGACCATAAGTTTATTTATTCTCGAGATGGAGAGGAAAACAATCGAATTGCGTTAGAATAATTCCTTTGTCAGTAACGTCTACTCGAATCCTTTGAATTTTTTTTTTTTTTATTAAGGGAATTCCATTCTATTAATAAGAAATATTTTCTTTAGTAATACATTTCAAAGAAAATATATATTTAAATTAAAATCGTCAATGATTTTTTTATAAATTTTTCGTATTATTCTTTATCCATGTTAAATAACTTTGTACTCGAGTGTAGACATCAGGTGCTCCTATAGCGCAAGGAACACCAAAGGATACGATGCCAATTTGTTTTCCATCTGATAATAAAGCACCACCAGAATCACCCTGAAATTAATTTTTTAAATTTGAAAAATAGAAAAGAATTTTTAAATAAGAACTAATTCAAATGGACATATTTTCTGTTCCTTTTTAGTTTCAGTAATTAAATTACATTGCAAGCTCCTTCTCCGGGTTCAGTTAATGTGCAAACGTGCGTTTTTCTCACATAAGGAATTATTGATCTACATTTTGAGTTTGGGAATATATAGAGTTTCACTTCTTGTAAAGTTGTTGCAGGAGGATCGTTAACCTGATAAAATTATTAAATCCTTTTAAAAAAAAGTAATTTTATCATTATAATTCTAATTTTAGAAATTGGCAAATTCCCCTCATACCCCAAGTCTTCCGTAACCGATAAGTGTTGCTTCTTCCTCATTATAATCGAAATATTTATGAGGCAATAATACTGGTTGAACTAATTTTGAATAAAGAATATTTGTCTTAACTCGAATTAGTGCAATGTCATGCAAATGTTGACTTTTGTTATAATTATCATGTATGAAGAACTTCTCAGCTAGGTAAGTAGTGCCATTATCTGATTGATGATTAATTCCTGTCACGACTTTGTAGAATGCAACCTCAAAGCTGGAAAATTCATTTTCGTTAATGGAAAACAAACATAAATCTATGTTGTTATTATTATTAAAATTGATTTATTGAATTCAGTACATATAGGAGAGTTTAATTAATTAAACTAAAAGCAATTATTGAAGGTGGTGTGACTTTTCCGTCTCATTAATAATGAAAACGATCAAACACTATAAAGGGAAATTCCAATATCTATTTTTGCTAATAAAGCTCAAATATAATTTTCTGTAGGTGTAGAAATATATATCACTATCACCTTCACGAGTCAATGTTATTTTTATTTATTTATTTTTAGCAAATAAGTTAAATAATTCAAGGGTATATTTGAATGTCAGTTTCTCTTACCCATCAACGCAATGTGCAGCAGTGAGAACGTGACGTTGATTTATAATTGTCCCACCACAAAGGAAACTATTTAAAAATTTCGTTATAATTTGAAATGGATATTTACCAGGTGGAGCGTCATTGCCTCCTACAACTCTTGGAATTAGTCCACCTAATTACAATAATTAAAAAAATTATTAAATTAATTTGATAATAATTTTAAATATATATTAATTTTATTCTAAATCATTTGAAATTATAAATACATATACCTTGGGAACCAACAATTAAAATAAGAAAAGTAATTAATACTGTTTCCTGCATCGTGTTTCTTCTTGAATTGAAAATTATCAAAGTTAAATCATATAAAAAAAAATCAATTAAAAATACGATTAGATTGCGATAATATATATTTATCCACTTATGATTAGATTATTTTCTAGATTTTTATTCTAATTTATACGCAATCATTATACAACTATGATAAATAAATATATTTTATTTATTTATTTATTTGCGCTTTTATATAAAATTAATAATTTCCGTTATAAATATTTTTAATTTAATTCTAGAAATTAGATTTTAAGAAATTAAATACGAATACGATTTAAAATTTTTAAATAATACAAGTTGCAATAATAATTTTAATAATAAATAAGAAAATTTTAAGGATAACCTTGAATTTTAAGGAATTTTCAAGGACAACACAAATTTCCCATTGTGTGCTTCATTTGAAATCTCATTTCCTTCGAGATGTAAACTAGACTTTCAAATCCCTTTGAGATTCAAATTGTAATAGTTAGGAATTATCAGAATAACCAAAATGTTATTTCTATACAGTAATCGTGAAATGGAATCACAGAGAGGAAATTCGATATAAAAAGAGAATATTAAATAATCCTTAATTGAAAAGAATTTACAAGAAAAATTTCAATTATTCGATTAAGTCCAATCATAATATAATTAATTTTACTATTATTTTTATTAAATTAATTTTAATACTTTTTTTTTTCCTAAATATAGGTATATATTGTTAAATTGCAAATTGTAGTACTGACTACAATAGCATTCACGTCATGTTATAAAAGAGACAAGATAATAAATTTGACGTATATCCAAGATGCTTGGTTCTCGAGGGATTTCGGGCTTAGTAATTACGAGTTCAAAGTTTTAAATTTCAAAATTCTCAAGAAAAGATCTTAAAATATAGATATATAGAAGAATCGCAATTATTCTAAAATAATGTTAAATTAAAAAAAAAGCAAGAATTAACAACGGGTCGAATCCGCTTGCAATAACTCTTCAAAATTTATCATTAAATAGCTAATAAAAAAAAGATTTAAGAAAATTTAGTAAACATGAACAATTCTAGAGATATATTTTATTTTACAAGAATTTGAAGATATGCAAAGACGTAAGTCTAATTTATTAATTTTTAGTCATCCCGAATTTCTCAATGATGGCAATAATTATAATTTTGATCTTGTATTTGTCCTTTTAATGGTCTTTTGACCCAATTTGAAGAAAAATTTCTATTCAACGTTAAATTGAATAGAAAAAACAAGTGACGACATTACGAAATCAAATGTGGATTATAAAGTGTAAGATTATGTAGAAGTGATGATGTGAAAGGGGGTTACAGGAAAATGTTAAAAGATGGCGATGGAAAGAAGAGGGAGCGAAATAAAATTAAAGGGTTAGGGGGAGGGATGAAGAGGGGCCAGCTTTGCGTCCGTTATGGGGTCGCAGTGCAAATTGAAACAAATGGGAAGTTATATGCATCGTAGCACATTCCGGGTTTTATTGCCAGCTCATTTCATCTCGCTGGCACAGCGCGACCTCGGCTTTATCGCTGTTAGGACGTTATGGCTTTTACCTTTAGTGTCACACCAGCCTTCTTCTTCCGTTTTCCCTACACACAACTTCAACCCACGCTTATACGAATGACCATTTTGCGGTTGAAGGAAAGAATGCATTTCTCCCTCCTTTCTCTCGTTCTCTAATGCGTCACAATTTTACCTCAACACTCAAAACTATACAGCTTCTTACGTTATTCGACTTCCTAACTTTGTCTGCGTTTATTGTTTGTCTATATATATATAGTCACAGTTTTAGTGGGATAAAGAATCTATTCTGGAAAATTGCAAACTATGAATCGTTGCACATTCGTTGCACATTCATAGGAAGTAAAAATAATGTGGAAAATGAATTATAATTGATAAATATTAATAATTCCAAAAGTAATAATAATAAATGTTTAATGTTTAATAATACTGTAATGAACCCATCTATATTAATTAATTAATTAAAACGGCGAGCAATTAAATAATGGAGTGAATTTCACTAGCGTTGAATTATTGTCGAATTATTATAATAATAATACCTGAATATTTAAAATAATACTACATTGCAACTAGTCAATGTTAGAATCCATTTTTAAAATTATCGTTAAAAATTAAAAAGTAAAACACTACAAAAATTAGATACGCGACAATTTTCGTCATTTCGATGCGAGCATCAAGTCAAAACTGAATTAAAATTTGTTTTGGAGGAATACCACACGCGTTAAAAAAAAGGAGTCAATGAACTCATAGGTATATAGTGTATAGAGGAAAAGACCTTTAAGATTATTATTTTAAATATTCAGGTATTATTATTTAGTGTTTTAATTTATGTGTTTAATTTTGTGTATTTATTAATTTGGTGTTTTATTTAATAAATTAACCTGAAGAAGATGGTAAACCAAACCATCGAAACGTCGCAACTTGACAAAATAACATAAATCTGTTTTATGTGTTTTTCTTTACCTTCCATTGATCGAATTTACTTCATATCAAAATTATCAAAATTAATCTCAATCAAACATATTAATTCCGATAAATTTACATATTCAACATAATTTTTAATAAAAGTAATTATGACTGACGATATGCAAAAATAGCTTTTGAATTTTAATTTCTATGTCAAAATGATTAGAAAAATTGAATCTACATCTGAAAATCGTATTGAGAAATTTTAAATATGGAAATAGCCATTGTCAACTAACCGGAAAGCCGACGAGTATTGAAGAGATGTATTTCCTCCTTTTCATCAATTTTCTTTAATTCCAAACTCTATAATTATATATTATTATGAGGTGATATTGGTTCTACGAGACGATAGTGCTTCCACGCTACGTTACGCTAAGCCCAAAAAGGATCAACTTATTTTTCTTTACAACATCTGGATATATCAATATTTTAAAATTAAATTCTCTCACAATCAGCAAACTCCAAAAAAATTGATGTCACGTGTTCGTTATTGGAGTCAACTATTAAATTGAGTTTCGATCCTATCTGATTCTTCTTATTTGGAATTTTATTGTGTCCCATTACCTTTAAGTTTGTAAATCGCCATCGCGAACGAACTAGTGCTGACATCATTGGGGGGGGGGGTCTGAATCGAGCGACCTGCACATTTTGCAGTTTCTCACTCTCGTCAACGAAGTAGACTGTACTCGAGTATTCACCCCTCCTTATTCTCCTCACTCCATTCTTCCTCAATCCTGTCCAGAGTAGCTCAACGAGCTTTTAGATGATCGATTTTTTGACGCTGGCATTCGACTATATTTATTTGTCTACTCATACTGTTAAAAAAAAAGAAAAAGATTTTATTCTTAGCATACTCATGCTCTCTTAAAATGCTTTTGGTTTTTATTTTACCTCTTTTCCTCGTCCTTCAATTCTCTTTGCACCTTCTTTTCGTCGTATCTCATCTTTCTTCCAACCCTCTTTTTAAGATATGCATGAGAATTTCCACGGGCCACTCGGCAACTTTGTCTTAAGCAAAAAGGATTTCCATCTCTTTTCACAGGTTTCGGGTTCTCTTCCGGTTGACGGAGCTACGCTTACTTAGACATTTGCATGGATCGTGAGTCACGTCCCGTAGAACGTGTTAATTCGCACTTCTTTTTTTTTTTTTGCCTAAAGGCTACCGTCAGCAGTCTGTTGGACCGAGGTTAATGGCATTATTGCAAAATGCTAGTCAGGATTCATTATATTCAAAAAAAAGAACGTTGAAAAGAAATTACTTTCTCTTTTAGGATTAAGAGATTAATTACTTTTTGAATAATTGGAAAAAAAAATTTTAAATCCGCAAATGGATGTGTAAAAATGTTTAGATACGTTTGAGAAAATTATATGGGAATTGAAGGATTGTACTCCCGAGGTTATATGTCCCGTTTCGAGATTATTCGAAATGTATTCTAACTATACACGACGAGGGTGGAGTTCTTAGACTGCAATTTAAGCAACTCCTCTAGCGTCTTTCTTGTTTGCCAACCTTTTTGTTTTCGTTCAGAGTTTTCTCGAAATAGTATAGATAAAAAAAACAGTGGCAAAAACAGTAAATCTTGAAAAATATTTTATCTAAATAAATGTCACGGTTAATTCTTAAAATCGGTAAAAAAATTTCTGAAGAACGCAGCTAATATACTATTATAAAATTAAAGTCTGCCGAATTTCAAATTTTTTAATCAATTACCCGTGTAGAATCAAAATAATATTATTAATAAATTACATTATTATATATAGTTTCACTTTTTATTTAATTTAAAAATAATATTTAAATTTAAATCGAAAATATCGAAATCAATATATCGATGTTCCATCGTCGAGAATGATGACATGAATGGTGCAAGTGCACATGTCATTTTGTGTGAACCTTAATTTTATTGTTCTTTTGTTAATTAATAATGGAAAATAATGAGAGGAAAAAAAAACAATCGCGAATGCGTAGCAAACAATATCTTGAGGTAAAATCCGTACGCGTTGAATTAAATAGAATGCAATATGTTCAAGAGCAAGTTATGGATATTAACAATTTAGATGACTCAAATCACTTATCTTCTTTATCAGAAGGTAAATATTAACATAATATTATCAATTTAAGAATATTTAATATTAAGCCAACAAACATGAAATATGTACTTAGAATATTAAAAGTAAAAAATATATTGATTGGTTTTCTAACCTCAAATTTTGTCTTTATGTTAATATCATTATTGCAAATTTTTAATTTTTACTATGATCATTCCAATTTCTTCAGGTAATATTATGATTTCTAACTTTTTTATTTATAATTCTGGTTAAAATTTGTGTTAGTACTGTTTGGAGGTTAGGAAGTTCAATTAAACTTCACGGCTATAATAAATAGCATAACGGGCGTTTTTAACTCTACAATTTCAAAAACACACACGGAAGAAAGGACGTTGGATCTTTATATAAATATGTTTTTTGGATTTATTAAATATTTATTAATTTTTATTTAATAATAGTCGATTAAAGGCAGCTAATAGGGTTCTAGCGAGAACCCTTTACTCCTGGTAGGAAAATCGCCTAGAGTTTCCCTTCCGGAACCCATT